AAGGCATTGCAATATTGCACCAATATCCTAAGACCTGGCAAGTTTTGCCAAAGTAGATCTAGTCTGTATCAGATATAGACTACTCATGAGAAAATGGCATCAATTTCAACGATCCACTCCCAGGTTATTCTTGCTGAACTTTGTCAACTATATTCTTTCCTTTGCATTTAAAGAGTTGAAAGGTGCAACTAATCCTATAACACTTACTATAAATGCTTTTAAACAGCTATTCTTGATCCATTCTGAACTTTGTGTTAGTAACCTTCATGCTAGTAGCTTTCAGTAAATGAAACAAAACCTGAGGGCTTACATCCCTAGTCGCTGGATATTTTGTACAAAATAAACAAGTAGATATAACCAGTAACATTGGAATTCTGCGTCTTATCTCTAAGTCAAAACTGAGCTCAAATTTTCTAAGTTTCTACCTTCCATTCAATAACAAATGCAGCAGCCTTACTAAATGTAAAAAATGGGAGTTGCACTTACTTTTAAGGGGCCTTGATTTAGGAGTCTGGTATTATCTAAATGCTCTTTAAAAGTGCTTGCATGCTGCAGGGTCAGAACTTGTCATATACCACTCTGATTCTCACTAAAAACAGGGCAACGTTAAACAGACTGCAAAGAAAAACATTTTCAAAAAGAAAAGACACACATCGACAAAGAAGACTAACATTTACTTTTGAAAATAAAATATAAAATGATTTTCATGCCCATACGTGTTTCAGAAATATAAGAAGTTCAAATATTACTGAATCAAGTATGGACTGAAGATAGGCTACTTTGACAGCAAATGAGGACTCCAGTTATTTTAACTTTCTAAAAATGTTAACACGTGAAAAGACGTTACATCTAAAATTCAACAAGTATGGCGAACTGTGTGTGCAAGTGCACTAGCTTAAAAATATAGAATCCTAACCACGCATAAAAGGGATGTGCCTTGTATATTTATAGGTTGTATGAGAGTATGAATATGCTTTCACTAACACAATGCGGGTAAGAGAAGGCAGCTTAGAAATAGTGTTTTGAATATAAAAAGTTAATTTTGTAGAAAATTTATATTTTTGCATTTTCAGCAAAAAGCCATGCAAAAAAGGTCAGGAGTTTTAAATTTTTAAATAATAAAACTAAAAAGTTTAACAGGTTGAAATACACAGAAATAAATGTTCAAAAAGGTTTCAGATAGAGATAGGGACTGAAATCACATCCAGTGACACTTACTGGGTCTTCTCTTAGAAGATGCATGACTCCTACGCTAACATCTGAAAGAAATGTTTAAAGCAGAAAATCAATTTCCCAGATAAGTGGAGCATTCTATTAAACTGCTTCTGGAAGTAGTTTCAAGAGCTAGCACTTAGAATTAACTTATTGCGTGAGTTTGAGGCCACTGAAAAGAAAAAAAAGGATGCTAGCACAGAATGAAAAATTCTTACGATGTTAGACCAATGGCTTTGATAGTAAAACTGGTGAGGTTTTGCTTTATATGTTTTAACTAACTACTTTATTACAAACAAATACTTTGTTTGCCTCTTTCTTTTTCGGAGAAGGATGTCGTTAGTTGCAACGCCTGACCTCATCCAGTACATAGTCCGGAAAATGCAGGTTGCATACTTGTAAACCATCCAGCTTGCAGGGCATCCGAGGGTACTCATCTTCCTTCCACTTGTTTTCATCAGGATCAAAAGTGAGAATGGAATCGCTGTAATGACCATTATAACAAAGGCCTCCAAGAACCATTATTTGTTTGTCCAGCACGGTCACACCATGGCCACTTCTACCAATCGGCATGGATGCCAAGATGGTCCACTGATCAGTCTCTGGATTGTAGACTTCAGTAGAAGGGCATCCCTGAGATTCGAAAGAGGCCCTTAAGATCACACAGACGCCACCAAAGACATAAAGCTTGCCATTGTAAGAAATCATTTTGTGAAAGCATCTTGCGTAATTCATCTTGCTCTTATTCTCCCAACAGTTGGTAACTACTTGAGTTCTCCTGGTCCGTTGTTCTATGGTCCCTTCTTTGCTGGGGTCAAACACGCACACTTGCTTGGAGGTGGAAGATGAGGTGATTCCACCGGTGATAAACAACTTGTTATTGAGCACTGTCCCCTCATGTCCATATTTGTTAACTGGATAAGGATCCACAAATTCCCATTTATCATTGGTGATGTCGTATCTCTCAGTTGAATAGAAAGTCTCATCTCTGGTTCTGCCTGCTACGGCGTAAATAAATTTCCCAATAACACCAACAGCAAATTCAGAGCGTGGTACGGACATATCTGCCATCTGCAGCCAGGAGTTCTGTCTCGGATCATACCTGAATACTTTGGAAGAAGCATGGAATTCACCATCCGGGCCCAGCTCTTCCCCACCTAACAGGAACACAAAATTATTAACGATAGCAAGGCAGTCAGGTCGCAGAGGTACTTGGGGGCCTTCTAGCTCCCACCAGACTCTTGGTTTCTTTAAGAGAAGTATTTTACTGTTAACCATGCTATGTCCAATCATTCCTCGAAATACTGTAGTTTGCGGTTTTGCAGAACGGATGCGGCTTGACTTCATATCCAACAAAGGCTGCTGGTGAACATTCTGAAAGTAATTCAATGCTTGGTCAACTTCATAACGGAGCTGTCGGGAGTATCTATAAAATTCTGATGTCTTAACCTAAGAACACAAGAAAAAGAATTTGACCCAAGTAAAAAGCATCAACAGCAAACAAATTATCAAATCCCACTAACATGATCACCTTAGGCTCACTTTACTAGAACTGCTTTTCCTGCTAAGATCACTTACTTTCTTTTGTTTTCTAAAGGCTTTTTAAAAAAAAAAAATCGTATATTTTAAAATTTGTAATGATATGTACATTCCCAACCTTTTAAAAGTAAACGAACAATTAGGTACCTATTATGTCAAGCTGTGGGCTACAAGTAGGGGGTATGAGGACAAGTACTGTCTTTCAAAGTACAGGAAACCATATCCACAGTTTTCTTAACCACAAGTAACACCACAAAACCGTGACTGAATCATTTGGGGAGCTAAGTTAGTGAAAATTTAAATACATGTACAATTTCAGGTTTTTGACATAAAGACTTGGTCTGATACCAACTCCTGCGAGAATTCAGGCCTGGATGCGGTGGCTCACGCCTGTAATCCCAGCACTTTGAAAGGCCAAAGTGGGCAGATAACCTGAGGTCGGGAGTTCAGGACCAGCCTGATCAACATGGAGAAATCCTGTCTCTACTAAAAATACAAAACTAGCTGGGCATGGTGGCACACGTCTGTAATCCCAGCTACTCAGGAGGCTGAGGCAGGAGAATTGCTTGAACCCGGGAAGCAGAGGTTGCGATGAGCCAAGATCATGCCATTGCACT